GGTGTCTCTGTGTGTATGTGTGTGTATGGAGAGGGAAAGAAGGAAAAGCTATTTTATTGGATTTGATTAGCAACAAAACACTGTTTTGTTTTGAGTTTTTTTTTTCTTTTTAGTTTCTCCATGTTCTGAATTAAAGTCTCTGGCACCCCCCTACCCCTTTGAATCTTAGGAAAATTTTCAAGATTTATGTATTTTTAGATGGGAGGGATAAGTACATTTGTGTGAAAGCAGTACATTAGATTCTAATTATCAGTTTTTAAAAGAAGCTTTGCAATCTGTGTAGACCATAGAGCTCTTGCCAAGAGAAAATATGTGGAGAATAATTATATTTTAAAAGGGCAGCCTTCCAAATAGAAAGTCTCCAGACTCATTTACACCCTCCTCTCTTGTAGTGGGTATCCTTCTTCCAATAGACACCTCTTCAGTAGAGATCTGCCAAAATGGGTCTGCTTGGGTCTATGTTAACTGCACAAATATGGCCTTTTTTCCTTTCCTCAGTTCAGGCCATCATTCTATATTTTCAGTTTTAGGTATTATTGGAGCTGAATGGAAGTTCTGGTTTCTCAAATAGTTTTCTTTGCACATCTTACCCAAGACACTACAGGATCTGGTGGCTACAGAATGAATGATGATACCTGGGAGTGGATGCAGGAAGAGAATATAATGGAGCAAGTCCTAAAATATATTGCATAAATAAAAATGATGTAAAGATACAGATGTGGGATGTATAATATTCTGTTGTGCAGGCAAAGAATGGTTAATAGCCTGGACTATTTACAATTTTTCAATATAGCATTTAAACTGGTTTACTAGTAACAAATAAATAGGACAGTGATTTTTTTTTCCAGCCTGTAAAATTGGCAGTGGAATAAGATGTAGAATCTCAGAGTGTATAATAGAAAAAATATATCAGTTTAGGGGTTTTAAACATTCCTGGACACTTGGGAAATGCGGAAAGGGAAGTTGTCAACTCATACAACAACTTTTCAATGTCTGCATTGCTCTGAAATTAAGATCACAGCAATGCTGGCAGATGTCATAGCCCTTGTTCTGGCATGATTTGTGAGGATATAGTGATAGCTTCATTCTAAAGTAGACTATTTTGCAAATTTTTAAGCACATTTTGCTTCCAATTTCTTTACTTAAGTATGTGAATTTAGATAATTAACTTTCAAAATTATTGTGTTAATAGAAGCTATAGAAGTATTTAAGGAAAGAAAAGGTGAATAGTTGAGCATCAGATGAATAGGATACTGAAGAGAAAATCAGCACCACAGGACACTGAGGAACAAATACATCTGATCCATACTCCTGCAATGCTCAATTTACTTAGGAGTGTAGCCCCATTCTTGAAGTACATTACCTTATGCATTTATTGGTCTTTTATGTGGTTTGAAATTATTTGTGCAGGTGTATGAATTCTTGAAGTGACACAGAGCTGATAACATTGAGTTATTGAAGCAGTAAGATCTTAATTTATTGCTAAAATAGAAACAATCATACTTCTCTCTAGAAACTGTCAGAAGAATTGAATGAATAATTTCTCCCAGATGTGCTACTAGAGAGTTGTTATCAACTTTTCATCCTCTTTGAAGCAAACTAGCATTCAGCTTATTACAGGCTGAAGCAGATTGCTAGATCACATGGATTTGTAGACTGATTCAGTCTGGCATCTGGTACTGGATATGATTCAAAACGCTGCCATAATTTCTGCATAGATTTATGCAATGTATCTTACAATAGTCTCCATCTTATTATTCATGATTTTTTTTAAATCTGTAATTTCCTTTGCCATATGTGTTATTGTTTGTACACATTAGCAAGAATTATCGAATGATATGTCTTTTTCTGCCGTCATGGAAAAACATTCATGAATTTCTGCACTAACAGAATTTTGCTGCACGAAATTATTAGTTTTACACTTGGTGTAGATTTGCCCAAAGATCTGACACTAAACTGTGTGTAGAATACAAGTGTAGATTTCAACAAAGATAAAAATGAATCCCTCATATTTCCAAGCCTCTGCTGCATTTTTAATATTCAAGATTTATAGAGAAAGCATAAAATTAAGACAACCATGTGAATACAATCATTTGTACAACCTTGTTGCAGTAAATTCAGGTGATTCTGGAATGTAAACACCTTGTAGGGGGGGAAGTAGGTAATATCTGAGCACTTGTTCTCTTGCCCTGTAATTTTATTGAAATAATGGAAGACCAAGAATTAGAAAATAAGTGCAACCAAGAAGGTGAAATGGGATCGAAACCCAAAATTGCTGTGGACACAGTGTCAGAAAAACTAGTCTCTCACAAATCTTCTGTTTTTCAGCACAAAAAATAAATGTCTTTTCTTCCAGTGCAATACAGCTTGTAGCACATAAACCAAGACACAGTAGCAAGCCCTTATTCTTTAGCCTAAACTGCTGTCTGGAAAATTTCAGGCATTGAAAGTCAGGATTATTTCCTAGTGTTGTGTAAGTACAGCTAATGCTAGCTTCTTGCTCTTCATCTTTGCATCTGAATATAAGTTTTGCATTCCCTTTATTGTTGGAGAATTTAGTTAATTTTAATCAATCAGCTATTCCCCTGCAGTAATTTGACACTGTGCAATGTTGAATTGACCCACAAATTGCATAGCTTGTGGGTCACTTACGAACATGCATTTGCACAATGCCCTGCAGTGTCATCTAGGAAACTTATGTCAAAATCAGCACATTTGGTGAACAAATACAACGTGACACATCCCAGCTAACGCAGAGCATTGCAGCTCTGCTGAAATAGGTGGAATGGTTCCTAGGTTGTAGTAGCTGAGTGGTCCTTGTGAAGCCCAGTGAATACATCTGCAACTGTAGAATTGCTCTTCCTACCAGTTGCAAACCTTTTTTTCTCCAATACACTTTGGAAAAAAATGCCTGTGTTTAATCTAGACTTTGTATTTCAGTCTTCCTTTGTTTTGGGAGCCCTTGCTTTTCCTGTTTTTTCTCCAGCTAGGAGAAGCAACTATAATTGATTCTCTCTAGTATAATCCAAGGGCTCAGATAAGACATGCAATACAGCCTGATTTGTTACTACTGAACACAAAACCTACAGCTGGCAATCAGAAACACACCCAACCATCTCAGCTTTAGTGCCAAATCCAATGACAGGAGATGGGACTAATCTTGTCATGCTTCCCTGTTTACAAATTACTGTCTCATAATTGCATTATTTTGCTCTGTGATATGATGACTTCCAGGAATATGCATCAAGGTAGTCTTCACAATGAAGCCCCAAAAAAATTATTTAATATAGGGATACTACTAAAGCAGTTTTCTGGTTCCCTCTAAAAATTCTAACTTTTTTTTTCTTCAACCTTTCTCATCATCATTTTGATTCTTTTTTTTCTATTGATGTGTGTCTGTAAGCCTCTAAATGATAATGGAAGGAAAATACCAAGTTTTTACTAAGCAGAGTGTAATCAAACAGCAGGAAGTTTTGAGCCATTTAATTTAAAATAAGGAGGAAGAAAATTGACATTAATTATCTCAGACTACATTATCTTTTCATTTTGCAAGCAAGGAAATATTTAATACCTTGGAAGCAAAATACTTTAGTTTGGACTGGAGAGACAATTTAAAATCACATGTGGGGGGCAGCTAGATGAAAGATCAGAAATTAATATATTCACTGAGCAAGAGTGATGAGATGAAAAACTAGACAAAGAGGAGACTAAGCCTGTGTTCGCTCTGTGCCACAAACCACGACCTCTTCCACAGTCACAAGGACCTATTTTCAATTTCAAGTCAATAGCTATAAATGTTAGTAATTGCCTTTAACTCCTTTCTGTAGCTTAGCTTCTTGCCCCATTACCAGAAACCATTTAGTTTCTCAGTAATTCATTTTCTACATAATCTCCTTTCATATCCCATGTTTTCTCTATTGTGTTTCACCTTGGGCAGTACATCATGTAAATAAAGTCTATATCCATAATCCCTTTACAATTCAGCTTAAGAGAATTCACTCTTGAAAACTCCATTCTAACCAGTGGCCATTACAGAAGATGTTTTTAGTCCTCATTAGATGGGAAAAGTCTACGAATATTTTAAAAGCTATTTCAGCATCAGTGATATAACCTTGTGTATCTTTTCAAAGCTTTTAGATGTATTTAAAGGATGGGTGTGGAGCAGGTAAAGGATCTTAGAAAGAAGTTCATCATACTGTAGTTGGATTTAAAAGAACCCTGTATTTAAAATAATGTTTAAGGCCACTTTATTGTTGCATAGACACTGATTAAAGGGAAAAAACATCCCAAAAGTTAAATTCAAGTTTTTTATTTTATTTTTAAATTATACCTTGAGATTCATCAGAATTGTAGCAGGAAAAAAAATGTGTATATTAGTATTTAAGGCAGAAAATATTGAGTTCTGTACTCTTTCAAAATGAGCAAGAAACTCCTATATTCACTTTCTGCAGTCTGATTATCTCAGAAAAGACAAAGGTAAGGGATCAAGTATTTGTGTAAAAGGCAATATTTTTAGTTCTGTTTAGCATTTGCTGTAATCATGAGGTGTATATTTTCTTTTTTTTAACCAAGTTTGACTTGGCGTTTCAGATGCCATCAAGCTCTTGCTCTTGAAATAATTAGATATTTCCCTTTTTCTTCTCTGAAAATCAAATGCCTATGAAACCTTTTGACACTCTCATGTCATCTCACATTTGTTTGATGTAGCTATTGGTGATTTTACATACTTGGTCTTAAATTTCAGTTTATAACAAATGTGAAGCCCTGCTTCATTGCAGTTTTAGTTACTGAACTGCAGCAAGTCTGTGCTGTACTAGATAGGAGTAAAAGTCTTGCATAACATGCTACCCACAAGTTTTCCATGCTATTAGAGGCAGTTAAAGACTTAAGAAATTGGTTCCTCCAAAGTCTTTTATTACATTAAAAAAAAAGAATTGCTGTGTAGCCTAGGAATAGCCATTAATTTTTTTGTCCTCTATTTTGCTCTTTTTCTTCTCCAGCTTCATTCTGACTTGGACAAGGGAGTGGGCAGTGTTAAATATACCCTTTCAGGAGATGGTGCTGGCACAGTTTTTACCATTGATGAGACCACGGGAGACATTCATGCCATAAGGAGCCTAGATCGAGAAGAAAAACCTTTCTACACACTCCGGGCTCAGGCTGTGGATGTTGACACCAAGAAACCACTAGAGCCTGAATCAGAGTTCATCATCAAAGTGCAGGACATTAATGATAATGAGCCAAAGTTTCTGGATGGGCCTTACGTTGCCAGTGTCCCAGAAATGTCTCCAGTTGGTGAGTAAGAAGCTGCAAATTCTTGATAACTAATTGTGTATTACTTAATTGCCTCAGTGTACTTTTCTTGCTGAGAGAGGGATGAAATGAAAAAAAAAAAAAACACTTCTAAAACTTATTATTAGAAATGTTTCTAATATTCTGTGCCTAGATATACACAGATTACAGGTTTTTTTAGCTTTGTTTGCTTATTTAGAAACTTATTCCTGTGCAATATGAGTACCTGTGATGTTAAGTTTCTGAGGGTAGGATGAGTTAAAAAACAAAAGACAATCAAGGAAGGTATGCTAAAGTCCAGGGGGTCTCTAACCCCACACCTGTTATGTCACATGATGTGGTGCATTCCCCTCCCTTCCTAGTTTACTTTTGCTGTTTGCTGGAAAAAATTAGATTGCCTGTTTGCTGCAAAGCATCTTGTAATTTAAATGGTTTTGTCTTTGTGGCTCTTAAACTCCTACAGCACTAGCATGATCTCCAAATTATTCATTAGGGGGCAATTCTTTATTCAAGTCTTGTTATACTCTGCATGCTCACAGTAAGTATTTCCCTTGCCTTGGTCACAATGCAAGAATGAGAGTCTGCAAGAGTAGCTCAAGTTGTCAAAAGCCTAATGTCCAAAAAAATCTTTAGTGCATCAGACTCCTAAGTTTAAAAAAACAAACAGAAAAAAAAACAAACCAAGATTGCCTGGGAACATGGAAAGTTTTCAAAAACCTACTGTACAGAGGACAGAGTGATTTTCTTTTCAGAGAAAGGTGGACTGAAGTAATGATACTGAAGTACTGGAATAGGTTTTTGCTTGAAGAATTCTCACAACACGATAGATATTTGCCAGGAATGACATAAAGAGCATGGATCCTGCTTTGGGATAGGAGCATAGGCTAAATGGGCCCTTTTGGTCTCTTCCTGATGGCTGATTCTCCAGTGGTCCTGAGCAGTGTGTTTGTAACACAAGCACAGTGCTTGTGTCCTGCTGCCAGATGGCATTTTGGGTTTCCCTGCAGGCACCAGAAATTAATTTGTTCTGGGCTGGGAGTAATTTAACTTCCCAATGCTAGTTCCAGCCTATTGCCCTTCTCTCTCCTAAACTGCATTTTCCCAGTACTTCACAAGCCAGAACCAGCCATTTAATACTCCTGGTAATTGTTAACGCTTTTGGAAGTTTTCTGACTTTGAAGTGGCAGAGGGATACTGTTCCCCTTCAGCTATGCACCTCAGATGTTGATACTTTTAAAGTCAATCTGGGAGGCGACTAGCCGTCTACACAAGCATTGTGTACTACACAGAATTAATGAGGTATTATTTTAAATTTTGTGGTAAGGAGCAGTAGAATGCTATAGAATATGATAAAATGTGATGGGAGTAGACATGTAGAGATGGTCATGTTAATCTTACAGAAGTGTTGAGAAGCATTTACTATAGTCATCTACAGGACTCTGTCTGTAGATTCACAATATAGTACACTATTGTTTCCCCTAATGAGATGCATAATAATATTACTTACAGTTGTAACATGTATAGATGAAAAACATTTGTTACATTTTGACACCTGTGTCTGTGGCAAATTCAGAATAACATTTCTCACCAGTGGCCGTATTCTTGGTAGTGAAATTGTGTTTAAAACCTTTTCAGAAAGAAAAAATGAAAATCAGTGATGGTGTTAGTACAGCAGAACACAGCGCCTTCACTCTGTTGTTCTACCCCATCTTTCTTTGTTATTTTTGTAAATATGTGTGTGAAGCAGAAGATTAAATGCTAACACAGCTTTTACTTCATATGAAATACTCTTCAAGGTGTGCCATATATTGGCAGCTTTTACATGGATGAGGAGTTGCAAGAATAAATGAGATACAACTGAGCATGCTGGGGCATGCATGCAGCATTTTAAAAGAAATGCCGTTCAATTTATCCTCCTTTAGAAAAACAGAAGTAGATGCCATGGCAAAAGAGATCTTCTTGGTCTTCTCTTTATTCAGTCACATTCACTATGTCTATTCCTCTATAAAAAAAAAAAAAAGGATAAAAATTGATCAGAAAAGGCAAGAAAAGGAAAGAGTTCCCTAAATGGAAGTCTAAACTTCAGTTAGTGGCTACTAAAGCAGATAAGAATTTTTGCTGTTAGGTTGTCTTGCAGAAAAAATATCCAGAAATGCCTTGTCTTCTCTAGTGTGTCAGGAGATTGTGCCTTCTCTGATGTAGGTCTTGCTATTCTCTTGTTCTCTTTATCTGTTTTTCCTTCCTTATGCAAGCACTGATTTCTCAGAGGATCTAAAACTACTGCTTTCTATCATCAGTACCATTTAGTTGCACCTTTGGAAATGCTGAGACCTACCAGTGCCTGAGGCTGACACTGAAAATCACTTTGATTTTTCAGCTGGTGCAGCATATGGTTGTCTTGGCTTAGGAAAAAAACCCAGATCCCAGATAAACTCTTCCTCTTTTTTTTTTTTTTTAACATTTTCATTTTCTAGTTGCTACTTTTTAAATACCAAATGTTCCAAATTTCACTTACTATAGTTTTACAACACTATGGATTATAAATTGCACTCTTGCACATATTTCTTGGGAAATTGTGGGAAATTCACTGAAATACTACATTTTTTACCCTTACTAGTCTCTTATGTGAGCCTGACAAGTTTTTGTGACTAGTGACTTGCAGTCTTTTATTGCTTCATGACATTTGCATGCAAAGGTTTACCCAGTTTGGTACTTTTTCCCAACGTTATTGGTAATATTATTAGTAACAGTACTTTCTAGAAATTGCCATGGCTACATGGTTCTCGGTTTTATAATGTCTCTAGACTTCCTAATAATTGCTATTGCTGATCCTGGGATGGCTGAAATAATGCCATAGCATTCACCTCTGGAATCAGGGTTGCAGTTACAGTGTTATAATAAAATTGTACATCAACTGGACCTTAGCAATATTTTACTGGAAAAAGTGCAAAAGAAAAAGAAAATACGTGGCATTCTCAAGTTCTGTTTTTCTGCACAGAGGTATTACTTAGATATACCTGTCATAGCCTTGTTTTTCACAGTAGATTTTAGAACTTTTGTTACTTTCCATGCATGTTGAAGGTGGACGTTTTCTTTTGCACTTCAAATCTACATTGAGGGCAGATTGAATTTTCTTCTACATTTTCTGTACTCTAGTGTTGGTTTGTTTTTCCTTTTAATCAATATCACTCATTAAAGGAGATAATGGTAGTGAATATCTTTTCATTATTTTCTGAAAAGATAGTTTTAGGACTGTTATTTTTAGTTAGTGGTGCCTTCCTTACCAGGAGCCAAATTCCTTCATATGCTCTTACGGAAAAAAGTTAGAAGAATATTTACCCAATACAAGTTGGGATGCAAACCTCTTTCATGCCAAAGTTTGACTGGACAGCCAGCCTTGCTCTTTCCATACATGCACTGTAATCTGTTCTTGTATGATGGAGAGGAAAGTCAATCACAGCCAGAAACAAGAAAGATCTTCTCTTGAAAAGCCCCTTGGGTTACCAACTGTTGTAACATGCAGGCTGCTGTACCCATCTGTGATTTCCAGTGCTTCTGATAGTTTCAAAGAGGGCACAGCTTCCACACTGTAGTGGAAGGATATCAGTGCCTCCAAAGTTGACATTGTATTGCTCACATGATAAATGGGGTGCATAATACTTTATGGTAAAGGTTTTTTTTTTTAAAGGACTATTTAATTTTTTTTATTATTTATTATTTTTAAAAAATATTTTACAAACTATTTTAAATTCCCTGCAGAAAAACTCAGCAGATGGAGTCAAATTACAATGCAGAACTAATATTTTAAGAACATAGATTGCTATGCTGGTATCTTATGCTCAGTAAGAGACTTATAAAAGCTTAAGAGCTGAACTCCTAATGTCGGTTGTGGGGTTTTATTTTGGTCTTTTTTTATTTTATTTTATGACATGGAATTGGTTTTATCAATATCTTTATTTGAAAATATGTTCTTGTTTAATGTAGGTTCCAAAATGTAGAATGAAACAGAAATGTGGATTTATCTATGAGAACTGAAAAGGGTGCCCTAATATCTCCATTTTTTTAAGTTTGTAATAGCAAAACATGTTCTCCTTAAGTATAGTTTAATCAACTGTGTTGTTGCTTCTGGCAGCTGTGCCAGCTTCTGTTGCAATATAGTTGACGTAAGCATGCAAATATAGCTGAGTTTAAACCAAGGTTATCCCCTTATTAAAGCTATCAGTCCAGATGACTGAGAATGGGGGCAAAGCAGCATTAAGCACACATTCAAGGAAAGATATTATTATATATATATTTTTTTATATATTTATACATAAAAATGTGCACTGAAATGCATTTGCTTCCCTGTGCATTTCTTTCACTGAATATGCTGATTTTAACAGCAAATTTATAACCTCTACTGTCACAGTCTCCTAATTGTTTTCTAAGGTCTTTGCATTATTCTTCTATGCTTATACATAGACCAGCTAGGGCTGTATTAAACTCCTCAATTCCATAATATACAGATACCATATGTTCTTTCCTACACAATTTCATTTCATACTTTTCCACTACATTAACTCTTTATTGATTAACTCCACAAACTCCAGATGACCATAGCAGACTTAAATGGTCAATGATACTAGAAAGTTGATATCAGGTCATTTTTATTGTGTTCCTCAGTGGTGCAAAACAGCTTCCTGAAGAGTCTTATGGATTTGCTTCCCATGGTACTGTCAGTGTGAAAATAGTCTCTATAAATTTTCTAGCAGTTTTCCTTCTGGAGTGAATACTTAATTGGCTTTTATTTAAACATTGGTTTATGTAATGGAACATATGTTTAATATATCCATCTATGCAGTTACATGTGCAAGAATTGCAATATGTAGAAAATTACCCTGGTAAACCTGCACTCTGGTTTGGCTCAGCTTAGCACTGTGTGCCTGAGTTTAGCCTGAAGCTTACAGTGTGAGCAGGGGCTGGGGAAGGAAGGACTACAAGGCATTGGAGCAAAGGCTGAATGA